CTGGCCTTGGACACGACTCTTCCTATTTGGCACCCACTCGTTTTTCCACAGAGAGAAGTGATTTGGGAGACAGAAATACTCTATTAGAAGCACAAGCAACATTTATGGTAAGCAACCTCATAAAAACTATGACTGAAAGATACAATCAGAGGAAACCAGTTATGCAGTATTCACAGCTGTACACCTGATGATGATTCTCTTGAGCTTAAACAAATGAGGAAAAGTCATCAGATTTTGCAGAGTTATCATTCCCACAAGAGCAATTATGACTTTCTCTAAAAGAGAACAAAGTAAGATCACAGAGATACTCAAACTATTCCACTATAAAAATGTACTTCAGTCCAACAGAATGGTCTGCACAGCCACATCATTTCAGCAGGTATGAAACAGGTTTTCCCCACAGCTTTTCAGACAAGGCTGTCAGCCTTGCATGTTAGCACATAAAAACAGCACATGTACCACATGTACTTCTCATCAAATCCACATGCCAGACACTTTTTCATTAGTGGACTGCAGCTTAATCTCAAGCCAACGTTTTGTTACACCTATCAGAAAAACTTAGGGCAAAGATGGACTACCACAAACCAAGCTGAAATCAATTAGCACTAACTAGGTTTTTCCTTTTGTTCTTCCAAAGCCTTACCAATAAACAGTTCATGAATATACCAATTACCTGTGAAGCGTATGTGGAAGACTATTAATTACCCCATAACTCCAGGAGAATTTTTAAATACGGTTTTAACGAAGATTCACCACATTCTTGTCATTAAAGAGAATACTATGATAAATATATAAAACACTCCTAAAAAGTCTGCTTCTTGCCTAAGAAACTTCAAAACATAAGTTATTGACAGAGGCTACCTATGAGTACTATGTATTACTACTGAATCTTGAGTGCATTTATCCCCATCACTGAATGATGACATTCAGATACCGACAGAAAGTAACTGTACCATCACCTACCCAGTCTACTCAGAAGAGTAAATATGTACACCACCTGTGTATAAACACCCAAAAGTTTCCAACACGCATAGGTTGTTCTCCAACATACCAGCTGGAGTGTACCAACTGTTCCACATAAACCTTGTCTTTATGGAGATAGGCATATTTAGCCTATGATTTTTCTTAATATGCAGTTAAAAAACAACCAAAGAAAAAAAATTACAAACACAAAAGCCAATAAACAGAGTTAGGAGAAAGGTTTATACCTGAAAATTGTTCATCAGCCCATACTGACAGCCTGACTCACAGGATGAGAAGTCATAGTTCAGTTTGCAAGCTGCAGTAGTGCAGTTTGTCAGCTCAGTGACAAAGGTGTTGTTAACGTTCCCTGTGGCATCGCGAACAACACAGGAACCTACGGTGGACACAACAATAAGAAAAGGCATTAACAAACTGAACCTGACCTTAAGGACATGTATCAAGCTCAATTCCCACAGAGCATTGTTAAAATTCAGCATTTATGTTTTTAACACATTTCAGCACTAAGCATATCATCACTGTGAAGAACAAAGACAAACAAGCAAACTAACTCTCCTGCTCTCCTGCCTGAGGTGCTCTTCAGTTTGTTAATAAATCTGAGTCTTAGTAAGAAAATTAAATTTTTAGCGCAGAGGAATACAATGTCAGTAGACTTGCAAAAGTTTAACTGCAGTTTTGGCTCAACGTACTATTTCTCTGTAACGTGAGTTTCCACACAATGAAGTTAGTATTATGCACCACTGCTTGATCTGGTAACGGCTTGAAACTGAAAGAGGTTATGTTTTTAGGTAAGGTATAAAGAATAAATTCTTCCTTGTGAGGGTGCTGAGGCACTGGCACAGGCTGCCCAGAGAAGCTGTGGCTGCCCCATCCCCTGAAGTGTCAAAGGCCAGGCTGGACAGGGCTTGGAGCAATGTGGGCTAGTGGAAGGTGTCCCTGTTCCACTCAATATGGCTCAGACATTCAAAGCAACCATTACACAGTTTGCCACAAGAGCCTGCTGCAAGCCATTTCCCCATGTTTAAACAAGCCACCTCTATGTGACTGTGGTACTTAAGTTAGTTTCTTGCTGAAAAACAAAGCCACACAGTACCATTCCTTTCATATTTTTACATAATTAAGTCTATCACCTTAATTGTTGTCTTCAGTTCACCTACGACTGCTTGCAATTTTGCTGGTCAAGAAAATGCTGAAGACACACTATTTCAGCCTGCAAGTACCAAAAGGTACTAAAAGGCTATAAGCCTTCTACTTCAGGGGGTTTTGTCTCATACAGGACAAAAACCAGAGCAAGCTAAGTATTATCTAACATTCTATGGTTTAATAGTTGAGGTTAGTCAAATTCTTTGGACACCAGCAAACACTTCCAGGAACAGGGATTAAACAAGGAGTGGGGAAAAGTCCACAGGATAGTAGTCAATAAAATTCCTGTATTTTTGTCTTTTAGGAACTTGAATGACAAGCAGGTCCTAGCAACAAAACCATGTGGCAGCTGAGGACCTAAATTAATTACCTACAAAGTCAGGAGGAGGACACAGATGTGCTGCAAGGTCTAGTTTCTCTAACATTCCTAGTTATCTACATAATTGGTCTCTCTTCCACTGGGAAAATGAATTCCTAATTACCTATACCATATTTAGATTACTTCTGAGCCATGAGAACTTGATTAACAGTCCACAGTAATACCTGGTCCCAGCAGGTGGACATTACTTAAACCTTCCACTCTTCGGATTTCTTTTTCAGTTACTTATTAGGCCAAATTGGTTAAATTAGAGGAAGAGATTCCTCTATTGATCACCTGTCTTATGATTTTCTTGCGACTATGGGGGGGAGCTGAGCTGGGGCTTTTTTGGTTGTTTCCTGTTTTAAATGGGATTAAATGTTCTGTATGAGTAAAATGTTTCTTCTTCACTACACAAGTATTTGCCTCAGCAGCTCAAACAGAGAGTAATGGACGTGACAATATCCTTCCCAGCTGAACTGTTTGTAGGTAACATTTTGTTGTTGATAGATTGCACTGGCAGTGCCACTAAATACCCACAATGCACTATCACAGCCCTCCTCTTCCTCATGTTTTCACAGTACAGATCCAACTGGCTGGCAGGATTTTCACGGGTAGTGTCAAAGTGCAACAGAAAGGGACAATAGCACTAGGAACAAACATCTAGTAAGCCTTACTACTTGTGTCCAGTTCTGGGCCCCTCACTGCAAGAAGTGAAGGCCCAGGGAAGGGCAATGAAGCTGGTGAAGGGTCAAGCACAAGTCCTATGAGGAGAGGCTAAGGGAACTGTGTGTGTTTAGCCTGGAGAAGAGAAGGCTCAGGGGTGACCTTATCACACTCTACAACTACTTGATTGAAGAAGGCTCAGACCTTATCACACTCTACAACTACTTGATTGAAGGCTGTAGCCAGGTGGGGTCAGTCTC